AGGTGTAGCCTGGAGGCTGCTTGGTCAGTTTTGTCTCAATGTGGCAAATACAGTGTTAAGCTGGAGGCTGCAACCACTGATATCAGTTAGCTTTTGCTGCCCAACCTTGCACCCCATGGCTTATAACTTCTAGCTTGAGTGTCTGTGGTAGATCCAAGAAGGCCAGAGATTGTCACACCTCCCCTTGAAAAGTGGAGTCTATGTGCCTTTCCTTGGAGTCAGGCTGGCCTCTATGATGCTGTGACCAATAGAATTCAATAGAAGTGTACTGTGCCAGTTCTCAGGTACCGCCTAAACAGATCGGCAGCTTCCACGTTCTTGCAACACTGTGTTTGGGAGTCCTGAGGCATGGTTAAGGAAATTTGACTATCTTGAGACTGGTGTGCTAGAGAGACTATGTGATTAATGAGCCCAGGGTTTTCCATTTCTTTTAAGGCTGTGGATCTGTAGTTAAGCCTCTCAGACTAGCCCAAGTACCAGCTGAATACTGCTGAGTGACCCTAGTTGATGCCTCATGGAGCAGAAAAATAACCTAACTGATCCAGGAGCAGACTCCTGACCCATGAAACCGTGAGCTGTAATGAGATGGTTATTATTATTTTTTAAATTATGTTTTTATTGATTTTTTTTTAGAGAGAGAAGAATGGAGAGGGATAGAGAGATAGAAACAACGATGAGAGAGAAACATCGATTGGCTGCCTCCTACGGGGGATCGAGCCCACAGTCTGGGCATGTGCTCTGACCAGGAATCAAACTAGTGACCTCTTGGTTCATGGGTCGACACTCAACCTCTGAGCTACACCGGCTGGCAAAATGGGTATTTTCAAGTCACTGAGTTTGTGGTATGTACTTTGTTACACAGCAATAGATAAGTGGAAAGTGTCTGTAGGATAGGTGAGGGCTGTTTGGTCTAGATTGGCCTCAGCTGGTCTGACCTACGCTTGCTCATGTGTTTGTGGATCAGTTGGGAACTTTCATTTAGATCAGTGGTTCTCAACCTTGGCTGCACATTAGAATCACCTGGGAATCTTTTTAAAATCCTGATTTCTGGGCCTCATCCTCTGGAAATTCTGTTTCTTTGTTATGGGGGTGGGGACCACATTAGTAACAAAGAAACAGAATTTCCAGAGGATGAGGCCCAGAAATCAGGATTTTTAAAAAGATTCCCAGGTGATTCTAATGTGCAGCCAAGGTTGAGAACCACTGATCTAGATTGTGTTTAGCAGGATTGCTTACTTGGGACAGTTCTGCTCCATCTGTCTCTTATCTTCCTTTGGACCAGCAAGCTTGGCCACACATGTCCTTCTCATGGCAGTGGCCAAAGTCCCAGAGAGCAAGTTGAGAGCTAGGCTTGGAAATGGCACCCTGTCATTTCCATCTCTTTCTATTGGTCAAAGTCACATGGCTGAACTCCAAGTCAAAGGATTGGAGTATGGACCTCATTTCTTTTGTGGGAGACTGTGCAAAATCCATCTATCAGAGAATGTGAGTACAGGTAGGAGTGGAAAATTTGAGACAATAATGCAATAATTTGCTTCATTTTAGTTCAGTAAACCTTTATGGGTTTATGGGATATATTATTTGCAAATATTATGTTAGTAACATGGAACCCCCCCCCCCAAAAAAAAAAGAGATCTAACTTTCTGTTCTTTAAATGCTTACAGTATAGGCAACCTTCAGGATGAGTAAAAGGGCTTACTGCATTTAGGTTGATTATGAACCTAAACTTCCTTTTAGTTCTTCACTTCTAACACCTCTGTTAAAATGTATACCTGCATTAAACTTCAGACTTAATATTGGAGTTATGTTTTACTATTATAGAGACTTAAAATTTTGTCAGAAGTCCTTACTTGCTTGAGTCATAGAATTTTTGTCTATGTTTTTATGTTTTTACACAAACATGACAAATTTTTTCAATGAAAAATTAATGATATGTATGCACTGTCAGTCAGGTTGCTGTCAAGATTTGCTCCACTGTTTTTCAAAGGGCTTCATGCTTTCTTCATCTCCAAATTCTTGGGGAGCCCCTTCATAGTCTTAAAGTACTGACTACATTATCCTTTAACATCTTTATTTAAACTAGGAAGCAGGAAGCCACAATGCAAAGAAAACATGTATGAGAACAAAGTGCACCCCAAATAGGGATGCTGAACACTTTCCTAATATTGGTTAGTTCTGTTTATTCCTTTCTGTAGTCCTCCACTCTCCTGTCAGATGTGCTATGTTCCCTCTATAACTATGTCTGTATGTTCCACTGTCAAAATAAAGTCAGAACCAGACTTCTCATCTCTCCTCTTCTTCATGTCTGCCATTTTTACATTCTTGCTTCCTATCTGTGGAAACCACTTTTTCCCATCAAACAGTCTAGAGTTGAGCTCCATGAAGTATCCAACTCAGTTCATTCTTTAGCATCTCTTATCACTCTGTAACCCCCAGGCAGCATGTGGATATGTGCATGGACTGACTTTAGAGTTAAAGGGATCTAAGCTTTAACCCCAGCTCCACTGCTTACTAACTCTGTGATCTTGTGCAAGCTACTTAATCCCTCCATGCCTCAGTTTTATAATCCATTATATGGGCAAAGTAAATCTTATTTTGCATAGTTCATGTGTGATGTAATTGCATTATAATACTTGCACGATGCCTGCTGTGTTCTCTATGTTAGTTTCCTTTCTCTTCCTGTCCCAAAGTCTACCTCTTATTTGCCATCTTAGGACTGGTTTATTAGGAGGCTATCCCAACATATTTTTAGGATCAATAATACTTCGTATGCATAGACTAATAACACAGATATGCTTTTGCATGACCTCATTTGTTTAAGAGAACCAAAGCAATGCCTTAGAGCGTTAAGACTCGGCATTTTGTAAACTCGAATTCTTACAGCTAAGTGGCAAGGAGTTCAAAGTTACCAATATTTCACTTTGGATAGTTTGCATGTTGGATATTTGCTTTATTTTGATGGTTACTGCAGATAAGATCCTTAGAGATTGGGCCGGGTTTTACTTTACTTTTCTTTTTTTTTTATAATATATTTTATTGATTTTTTCCAGAGAGGAAGGGAGAGTGATAGAGAAGTTAGAAACATTGATGAGAGAGAAACATCGACCAGCTGCCTCCTGCATACCTCCCACTGGTGATGTGCCCGCAACCAAGGTACATGCCCTTGACCAGAATCGAACCTGGGGCCCTTGAGTCCACAGGCCGACGCTCTACTCACTGAGCAAAACTGGTTAGGGCTTACTTTTCTTTATATTCTATGACCTAGCACAGGACTTAGCATCTAAGTAGTGCTCAAATAAATGTTTGTTGAACAAATGAATGTTTCATTGAATACAATTGTGTGAGCTAATGAAAGTTTAATTGTTTTATACTGAAACAGAATATTCCTGTTGTCTGTTTTTTGTTGAGGCTCGGTTTGGCTGGCTGATGCTTAGTCACCATGTTTCCTTGCCAGGGTGAGGACAGTGAGGGTGCAGGGTCTGTATTTGGAGGGATGCAATGCAATCATCTGCCCTTCATACTTCCTTCTTTGCTTTTGTTGTTTATCATCTTTCCTACTACCTTGTAAACTCCCTGACAAAGACCACATATAATTTCTCAGTGCTTGTGGCATTGTTAATATTCAATAAGGATTGGCTGAAGAAAAGTTAGCATTTTGGGATTTTTTTGTATGATTTTAGAAGTGCTGTATTCTACCTTTGTCCTTTCTTATCTGTTCTGATTTATATGGGTCTTCTCCTGAGCTCTTCCACTTATCCCATCCTTGGATTTATTGTTTTTTAATCTCCCCCTTATAAATGCTGCATGATTTATGGGAAAGGGTTGAGGCTTTGAAATGAAAAAGACCTGGATTTAAGTTCTGAATTTGTAACTTCCTGTGATCTTGAACAAGGTCTGTAACCTCTTGGTGCCACTTTTCTCCTCCGAGAAGGAGAATGATAATGTGTCAGCTACCTGACAGAGCTATGTTGAAAACTGATTGGACTGTACTCATAGAAAGGGCTCTATAAGTAGGAGGTGTTATTACTATTTTTATTTCCATCCTCTTTACTTATTTTACTACTTATCCTAATTACTACTTCCTTTTCCAATTAAAAAAAAATTCATTTTTCACCCTGGATCTCTTATTAGCAGCCACTGGAATGTTGGGAGTTGCTGGGGAATGAAATACTATGAACTATCAAAATTTCACTTCATTGGGAACCTTATATCACTTTGAGCAGTGATAAAAGCTCTAATAAGAATAACCACTGTTTGCCCCATTAAAATAATACAAAGACAAATGTGAGTTTTCAGGAAAAAATGTTCCTCGAATGATAAAGCAAAGAATTGGAAAAGGAAATGACATGTGAAGAATCTAAGAACATAGCGCATATTTCAATTTATGATTTTTTTATTCACTCTCTTGCTCTCTTCATTTATTACAACAGAGGCTAAAATTTTTCTCTCACAACAGGATCATTATCCCTATTAGATATAAGGACTATTTCAATTGTATTTTTTTCTTGAAATAAATGAGTTTGCTGGAATAAACTATTCAGCTCAATATTTTTCATCTTTCTCTAATACAAATCTATTTGATTTCTATAAATCTGAGTGAGGTCAGTCAGGAAATTACACATATTTGTTTTCCACAGGGTATCTGAGCTATTAAGTCATGTTACATTTGTTATACATCATGTTTGCTACTTGGCAAGATCATTTGAATGACTAAGAACAATATTTTCGAACATGTAATACAAAGAAAACAACCAGAGAGGAGAATTGAAGCCAAATGTTCCTTATAAGAAATACTTTAAGTAAATAAAATATTGTGATTCAAGCACACTTCTTCATATAAAATACATAAAAATATCATTCAATATTATACTTACTATTCATTCTTATGGTTCATATATATACACACAGATTTCTCTCACATAAGTACATATTTATATTACTTTTCATTACTTCTAATGTAATATGTGTATATATTCCCCTTCTTTCTTCCAGCTTCAATTATGTGGATGTTGTCTTGGCTTTGTGCTATTTTAATTATTTTGGCTATTGCTGATATGGATGCAATAGCAAAGACCACGCCATATATCAAATTTACGAAGAAATCTGAGGGAAAAGAGATGCTGGAGGGTTTAAAGCCGTCCAGTGGCCTACCTCCAGGAGAAGAAGAAGAAACACCCTTCACAGAAGTGGCTGAAATGGCAGAACCAACCCCTGACCCCTTGGTCCAAGATTCTACCTTTGGCACTGCCACTCTCTTCCCCTTTGAAAACTTCACTCTGGACACGGCCGATTTCTTTTTGAATTGCTGTGATTGTTGTTCATCTGCACCAGGGCAGAAAGGAGAACCCGGAGAGACTGGAAATCCAGGTATTTGAAAATATATGAAAAATATATTTCTCCCGTGTACATCCTTAGAGTTGAGAGGTGAATTGGAGGTGGAATTGCCCCAGGGGTTTTCTACGTTGTCACGAAAATGGCAATAGGCCTAGGTGTAACTTGTGACAAATGAAAATGGGTCCTGTGTAGCCCAAAGTGGTAGCCACTACTCTCCTGCATAGCTATTAAAAATATTAAAGTTAAAATTAAGAAGGCGGGGTGGATGGGTGGGTGGGGAGTGATTAACAGGGAAACTTATCTGCATATATGCATAGCCCATGGACACAGACAATAGGGCAGTAAAGGCCTGGGAGGGGCAGGTGTCCGGTGGAGAGATCAATGGAAAACAACAAAAGCAAAACAAAAACAAAGGGGACATCTGTAATACTTTCAACAATAAAGATAAATTTTAAAAAATTAAATAAGATTAAAATTCAGTTCCTCAGTCAGACTAGCCACATATGGCCAATGGTTAACCTGTTGGGCAGCACAGATAGACATTTCTATCACTGTGGAAACTTCTATTGGGCAATGTTGGTTAGAGCAGAGATCAGGTCTACCAACCCCAGCACAGGTGTGTAGCTCTTCAAGTTACACAGGCCCAGTACCAGTACAATCTTTTCACTAATGCCGATGTAAAAAGGGAAAATGAAAATTCTGTTATCTCACAAGACGGTGTGCTGATTGATGGGATTTGGGAGTGCTATTTGTAGTTAGGATTAGAAGTGGAATGCCTGTGAGGTGGAGAATAAAGCCAGGATTCAGCTTGCTTCTCATTGAAATTCTGAGTCAACACCGAATTCTTGCCCGGCGATTTTCTCCATTGAACGTCATGATTACATATTTCAAAATTATACATTATGAATACACTCTCAGTTTTATTGTAATGTATTTCAGCTTTTACCTGTCATATAGCGGAGAACTCAAGGTAAAAATGAGATCAACATGCCAAGTGCAAATTCACTATTCCCTGAAAAAAATTACATATAAATATTTGTTGTATCTTGCTTGAAGAATTTAAAGTTATGAAATCAGGACTTACACATCCTCATTAAGCTTTTCATTCATTTCATCTGTTGTAGGAACCTTTTGGGAAATGTGCTCAATATTTATGTAGAGCTGAAATAAGAGGGTAAAGGAGCTGGGCTGTGGTCTGGGGCACTGAGTTCAGGGTTGCTAAAACATTATTGGAAACATAATGAGACTGAGAAAATTATATTTACCAGAATTTTTCTTAGTATCATATCTGGTTGGCATGCTGTGCGGGAGTGAAAACCCCCAAGGGCATGGCCAAGTAAACACAGCTGGTTGCTCAACAGTCTTCTACGCTGTGGGTCTGTAACATCAAAGCTTGTGTTTTACCCAGGGGTGGATTTAGCTGCGTTGTTCTCAGAGCCCAGCCCCTCCTGTAAACACATATGACAAATATTCCAAAGGTGTGCCAAGTCATTAGTTTGCCCAGGATGCTCATGTGTCTTCGTCTGACTTGTTCTGCAACAGAGCAGAGAGCTTAGGAGCTCAGCATGTTGAGGCTATCATGAAATTACATTGGGGAAACTTCATTACTTCTGTAAGTCTCAGTTTCCAAAATAGTAAAATGAGATAAAAATAATTCCAACCGCATAGTCATCAAGACAACTGAATGAGTTTATACCTATAAGGACTCAGTGTGGTGCCTAGAATAGAATAAGTGCTCAATAAGTTTACTTTTTCAGTTAGCTGATCGAGGAGTCTTTTTCTACCTCATGAAATAGTCTGAGCCTGATAGGTTCCTGTTTTTGAGATTACTGCAGAGATGTTTATTTTGACATTATCAATGTTTTAAAAAAACACAACTTTTTAAAAAAAGTTAAAAATCTAGTATCAGAGCATCATTAAATAAACTTGAATAAACCTATTCAAATTCTAATTTGTTCATTGGGTCTTCGCTTATGCCACCTTCTTGGGCAGTGGTTCTCAACCTGTGGGTTGCGACCTCTTTGGTGGTCGAACGACCCTTTCACGGGGGTCGCCTAAGACCATCCTGCATATCAGATATTTACATTATGATTCATAACAGTAGCAACATTACAGTTATGAAGTAGCAATGAAAATAATTTTATGGTTGGGTCACAACATGAGGAACTGTATTTAAAGGGCCAGAAGGTTGAGAACCACTGTAATCTTAGGGATGTCTCCTCTGATTTTTTTATATCACTAACTACAGGTTAACAATTTTTATTTATTTGTGTGGTTATTTGTTTAATGTTTATCTTTCATGGACTCTCAGCTCCATGAGGGCAGGGATTGCTGGAAAAATTTTAAAAGTTTTGTATGAATCTCTAAAAACTTTATAGTTGCCATGTAATATTATATTATGAAGTTTCAACAGTGATTCAACATTTATACACCTTATGAATTCTAGTAACCACCTGTCCTTGTACATAGTTATGATATTATTGACTCTTTTTTAGCTGTACATTACATCCTCCTAATTTACGTTATAACTGGAAGTTTGTGCATTTTAAGCTCCTTCCCTTTTGCCCATTTCTCCACCCACCCCCTCTGGTAACCATCAGTTTGTTCTAGGGACTCCTGGAATGTTGATGGCTGATTTTTACCCCTAAGTGGGGTGCTTGGTTTATAGGAAGCCTCAGCAATAGTTCCTGAGTGAATAGGTAAGTGAATGAGCCGGAAAACCAAAAGTGCTAGGTATTGTGGTTTTACTCAAAATTTGAAAGTGTGGTCCACGTGAGGTCAAGAGTCAGGTAATCATTCTGTTCTTGTTTGATATAGAACTGCTTCTCTGAATTATTAGATCTCTGCCGCAAATCCAGGGACAAGTACTAATGTGCTCAATTTATCTATTCAGGTAGTACAGAATTGTAAATGAGACATAAATATTGTCCTTAGGACTCTCTAATAGTTACTCTCATCCAGATTTTATCATTAGGACACTGATAGTCACTAGTATTAATATGAGGACTGATTCCCCCCCCCCCCCGGCCCCCGAACTAATGAATTTTGAAAGAGAATTCTTCTTAACCTTGATGGTTTTAAATTCTCTTTTCCAGGTCCTAAGGGAAAGACTGGTGATATGGGGGTCCCAGGGTCACCAGGAATCATTGGGCCCCAGGGTCCAAAAGGCCAGAAAGGAGAGAAGGGTAGGTAATTATATTCATTTCATGTCAAAACTCAAGGGATGTTCTGCATAATTTTTAGGACAGCAATTTGCTATGTAAATACCAGATTCTTGCAGGTGAGTCAAATTTGCTTAAGCATATTGTGAGTTATATTTGATACAAAAATGTCAACTTTATAAATAGCCAATTGAGAAATTTTAAACTTGCCTGGTAACATACCACACACACACACACACACACACACACACACACACACACACAATTTTCTATCTCTCATTGGCCTCCCAGCTGACCCAGTGACAGGGCAGGGTCCTTCCCAATATATTCTCATGTGAACTCTTTCTCAGGATGCAAATTAATTTCATACTAGATCGAACTAACTGGAGCAGGCAATCCTATTCCCTTGAGGTGGATAGCCTGCCTGCTAAGGTAACTATGACCTATCCTTTGGCTCACACTCAAATCGGGGGCAGTGTCAATGGGAAGAGAACTGAATTCAAATGGAAGAAATCAACCACATAACAGTGACCTCATAACTTTACCTCATCTGAAAATTGAGGGGAATAGACTAGATATCTCTTTATAACCTATTTACTTTCAAAATAGATTTGTAGTTAAGTGTGTTTCATAAATCTTTTCCAGCTCAGAAATTCTATAATTCCACAGATATCAGTAAAGAGGGCGTCCTTCCTGGGAAATCCCTGGTTCTGTAAGTGCATCAGGTATTGAGGGAAGGTTACAGATTCACTGGGACATTTAGAAATTCCTCAGTGAATACCACCAGCCTGTAAAACTACCATCTATCCATCAAGGTAAATGTTTTAGCCTCAGTGTCACATGTCAAAAGACCTAATATCATCTATACATCACCCTCCACATGGCTCAGGAGCTGCCTAACTCATTTCTAGTAGAACGTTCAGTGAAGTAATTACTCAGAAAAGAGGCTAAGGTAAGAGGGAGCTGCTTCACACTTGTCAGCTAGGCGATTTTCATTCTCAGAAACATTTAATCCTTTTGTGGCTGAATTATGTCAGCAGAAAACCCTGTGAAATAAAGATGAGTTATGAACCTCCCCAGTGATTCATACATTTTGGAAGCTAGACTTCTGGAAGTAGAAGAAAAAAACAGGGAGGTATCATAAGATAAGGTTCTTAAGAATAAGCTTTGATGAAGGATCAAAAGTAGAAATTCATTCAGCCAGTCTGTGGCTTGGCAACTCCACTTTCCTTTTACTTCCAGTCTAGACTCTTAGTTAAGGGCTAAAGTTGAAAAGAAATAAATAGCTTGAACGACTGCATTCTGGCTCATCACACCCTGATTGAGTAAAACCCAGTGTAAGCAGTTAGAATCCCTAAGTGAACTTGAGAACCAGAATCACTGTAATAAGGCTCAGTATATGAGTATTGACAAGAACTGGAAACAGAAGTGGCCCTTCACATCCATTCAGGGTTGCGTTCTCTCCAAATGCAGATACATTTTCCTGATGGCCTAAGGGTTAATTTCCAAGGTCTAAACTTTATGTGGAATGGTAATAGAGGAGCTGGCTGCTTAGAAAGCTCTGCTGAATGGCTTATGGTGAGATTTCAGCAGTTGCTCTTGTGAAATTTCGGGGAGTTTCCTCTCATGACTTTTTTTCCCCCTGCCAAAAATGAAACAACAAATGTTAGTTTTATATAAATAATGTGATTGGTAAATCAATGCCAACCACTGTAATATGCATTCATGTTCAACTCTACACATTTCTAAATTTTTTTGTACCTCAGTTTCTTCTGTGATAAAAGTGGTGACAAAAATATCTGTCCTGCAGTTTTTAAAGGAAGGTGCTATAAACTTTCTTAAATGAAAAGTGTCCCAATTGGTGAAATATGCTCTGTTGTATAAGCTCCCTGTTATATGAGAGGCTGTATTAATATCAAATAAAAATTAACATTAAATTTAAAAGACTAGATTAAATTATAAAATTATGTTAAGAGCTTGGAATATTACCTGGTGCAAAGTAGATGATCGGTAAGAATCAGCTGTCATTCTTATCGTTATTGTTGCTCTTCTCATTTGCAATTAAAATAAGTCTAGTGTGGCAGCTCTAAGAGGACTGGGCTTCAGCCAGGCCCACGATAAAAGTCCATTTTGTGGTAATATGGCAAATATCTAAAAACCCAGATTCAAAATTTTTTTTGAAACACCAGTTCCCACAGTTCTATGATTTGTCCAAAGAGTATATGAAAAATTTTCTGAACAAAATAAAAATTGGCTTTCCTTGATGCTCTATGTCAAGGATACTATATTTTTTTCCTGGATGGGGTTTTTTTTTTTTTTTAACCTATATATGTTATTGATTTCAGAGAGGAAGGGAGAGTGAGAGAGAGATAGAAACATCAATGATGAGAGAGAATCATTGATTGGCTGCCTCTTGCACACCCCCTATTGGGTATTGAGCCTGAAACTCAGGCATGTGCCCTGACAGGGAATCGAATTGTGACCTCCTGGTTCATAGGTCAATGTTCAACCATGAGCCACGCCCAGCTGGGTTGAATGGGTTTTATTATAATGAATTGTAGCCAAATGAAGAATGTTGTGCTCTGTGTTCAACTCTTCATGGTACACTTTCTCAGGCATTGTGGGGAATATGAAGACTAGAAAATTTTAACTGTCATTCAAAATTCATAATAGGAAAGAAACAAACACATACATCTGTAACAAAAGACTGCATGTTCTGAGTTTTGTGAAAGATTTGAAGAGCTGTGGGAACACTGATGAAAAACTGAGTTCTGTTTGGAGAGATTGGCGCTACCCCCAAATCTGCTTTAAATGATTTACCATCAATTGGAATAAAATATTGCTAATGATGCTCAATAACCTTTTCCCATATTGTTTTACTTTATTTATTTAGTATTTTTATTGAGTTTATCTGGGTGACATTGGTTAATATAATTATGTGGGTTTCAGTGTACAATTCTAAAATACATCATCTGTATATTGTATTGTGTGTTCACTGCCTCAACCATATTGTTTTACTTTTACACATTTTGGTAAAGGAAGCATCGAAATGTGAGATGGCTGTGAAATGGATGTTAGTTTTATCATAACTAATATAATTGGAAGATAGTTAATCTTGGCATCATTTTAGGACTTAAGGGAGAACGTGGGGACCAGGGAACAAGTGGAGTTCCGGGATACCCAGGAAAACCCGGAGAACCAGGTAGGGTGTAAATATTCCTGTTGTAGAGTATGAACTATATCATGTGCGAAGTATAGTATTTGATTTTCTTCCTATTTGTATTCCAAGTTATGAGGAGGTAAGAGGGGAATAGGAATTGCTATGCCTCTTCTAATAATTCAGTGTATTGGTATGTTGGAGTGTGAGTACTGAGCTAGGAATTTGGAGACTAGATAAAGGCATCTGAGCTCTGTCCCTCTTCCTAGCTGTCTTTGGGGAAAGATTCTTGCATCTTTCTGGGTTTTAGTTTCTTTGCCTGAAAGACTTGGGTTTGGATGGAGAATATGGAGATGTAAGAGAATACTTGGATTGGGCCAAAATGCAAACTATAATGGAAAAAATGAGCAATAGTTTTACTACCCTTTATTATCTTAAGAGTAAAAAATAAATAAATAGAACTAGATACATGAGATCAAAATACAAGCTATTACTTTTCAGTAGCGTGAACTCTTCCCCTTATGAGACAGGTGCTGATGTGAGTGGCTCCGTGCAAGAGACTCCTCCCACAACCATTACTGAGGCAAGAGCCAGGTTTCCAGCCCGGCTGGCGTGGCTCAGTGGTTGAGCATCAGCCTATGAACCAGGAAGTCACGGTTCGATTTCTGGTCAGGGCACCTGCCCCAGTGTGGGGTGTGGCAGGAGGCAGCCAATCAATGATTCTCTCTCTCTCCCTCTCCCTTCTTCTCTGAAATATATATATATATATATATATATATATATATATATATATATATATATATATATATATGTTTAAAAGAGCCAGGTTTCCAGTCCCAGGTAGTAGGATTTGTTTCTATTTTGTGAGCTCTGTGATAATAGCATATTGTTCATAGCATATGTGGTCCGTAAACATTATTTTAATTTTTTATTTTAGGTGGACCTGGTCCTAAAGGGGCTAAAGGAGACACTGGACTGGCGGGTGTGAAAGGACAAAAAGGCTCCAAGGGGGACACGTCTGTCAATGCTACCAAAGGAGACAAAGGAGACCAAGGGGCTGTGGGCTCTCCAGGCTTGAATGGAGAGCCTGGGGCCAAGGGAGAGAAGGGGGACCAGGGGGAGAAGGGCTACTGTGGGAACTCTGGGGAGAGGGGAGGAAAGGGGGAAAAAGGTGAGGTGGGGCTGAAAGGAGAAAAAGGTAGCAAAGGCGATATTGGGATGGAAGGCAAAAGTGGCCCAGAGGGCCTGCCTGGAGCCCGAGGTGACCCAGGGGCTAAAGGAGAAAAGGGAGCTGTAGGTCCTCCTGGTCTGGTGGGACCTGCGGGGCCCAAGGGTGAGCTTGGGAGCAAAGGGGTCCGAGGATCTATTGGGAAGAAGGGTTCTCGGGGCCTCAAAGGCTCCAAGGGGGAGATGACCAGAGTCCCACGGTCGGCTTTCAGTGCTGCTTTATCAAAGCCTTTCCCTCCCCCCAATGTCCCTATCAGATTTGACAAGGTTTTCTATAACGACCAAGGGAATTACAGCCCTGTCACCGGGAAATTTAACTGTAGCATTCCTGGGGCATATGTGTTTTCCTACCACGTCACAGTGAGTGGCCGGCCAGCTCGGATCAGCCTGGTAGCCTGGAATAAGAAGCAGTTCAAGTCCAGAGAAACGCTCTATGGTCATGAAATAGACCAGGCCTCTCTCCTCATCATCCTGAGGTTAAATGCAGGGGACCAAGTCTGGCTGGAAGTGTCCAAAGATTGGAATGGAGTGTATGTCAGCGCTGAGGATGACAGCATTTTCACTGGGTTCCTTTTGTACCCAGAGGAAACGCCTGGAATTTCACCATGAACTTGTGTCTGAACACTGTAGTTTGGAGTGAGTGAAATAAGTCAGGTAACAGAGAATAGCGCTATTGAAAAAAATAACTTTCCTTATTTTTTCATGACTATAAAAATAATACAGAAAAAATGATGTCACTTAGTGTCAACTGCTATTGCTATTTTAAGGCATCATGTTTTTTAAAAATAATTATCTATCTGTATTTGAGAGCATATGTCTGTTAACTTAGTAGATAGTTTTTTCATTTGATTATAATGGCATTTCTCAAGCCATTTAAGTAATTAATGTTTGTATACAAAAATATAAATGAGATTTGTAATTAATAAATTGTAAATATCTTCTATATCTCACATAAATGTGTGCAACTATTTTCTGTATGAATGTGAGGCAAATAGCTGATCTATCATGATGGGCAGGTATCACTCAAAAGTTTCCAATTCTGTTAGAAAGGTTGCCTTCCAACTAAATGGAACTCTTCCCATATTAGATTAATTCTGGAAGAATAGACAGAAAGAATGTTAATGACTAGCTAAAATATCTTTAAAATTAAGCAGTGTGTAAAGATTTGCTCATAAAACACCTGTATTATATGGACTTATACGTTGGGTAAAAGGTAAAAAGAAAGTTAATAACGATATTGCTAAATTCAGTCATAACAAAGACCCAGCTATTCACCAAATTATTGTGTTTAGAAGGAGTGAATGTCCCCCAAAGACTCAAGAGTAAAAGTAGATCATTACTGAGCCCTTTCTTCACGGAAGAACATTCCATTTGGATAAATTCTTTGGATTCATCATCTCCATAATTAATTCCTGTTATTCAGTGATAACACTAGTGGAACAGGTGGGTATTTGGGAATATACTTGCAATGAGAATATTTAATAACGTGAATATAGAATAAGTCAACAGCCTCATATTTGAAGAAGTGAATTTATTGAATCTAAATGGAAATTGGTTGAAGAAGGCATGTAGTTAGGCAGATTTACAAATCTCGGTGAGTCAAATCAGGGAGTGGGTGATGGGAAACTAGGGAACTTCCTGGTTTTGTTCTGTCAGACAGACAGACTTTGACAAGCATCATTCACTTTTCAACTTCTCTCTCTATATGAGAATCTCAAATATGTGTTTAGAGGAAAGCCATTTCTGGAAGTTATTATTATGAGTTACTGGGGGAAAAGTTGGTTCTGCATCAAACAAATGTTGGAAATGCTATCTCCTGTATCTCCGTCTTGGAAATTCATAAAGCAAGTCCGTGTTCTCTGACATTCCCACAGAACAGAAATATAATTTTGTTTCATCCAAGAATCCCATGTTTACTTTGCGTATAGGACTCATCAAATAACATCCAGTGGAACAGCCTCGTGTAGGATGCCCATTTTAGGAACATGGTGTTAGTTTCTTATCCGAAGACTACCTAGCAGGCGGGGGTAAGTTCCCTCTTGACATTTTCCCTTCCTTCAGCAGTTTTTCTCTATTTAGACTGTAATATTGCTTAGTGGAGGCTTTCCGGTATTTGTCAGAGGGGAGAATAAGATAAGCCACATGATTAAATCAGTGATGCTTGCACTTAGAAATTTTCCTTTTCCATTTTGAGGCTTGGGTATCAAAGACATTCAGAAACTTAAAGTTTTGTTTCTCTTTTAGTATATATATATAAAGAGATAAATATAATATAAATATATTAAATAGAATATAAACAAACTTTTGTTTCTCTCTTTGTATGCATATATAGGGTGTCCCAAAATTCACGCAAGATTTGAATTTTGCGTGATCATTAACAACAACAACAACAAATAAAAGCTTAATTTTACTTGGTTTATTGAATCAGATTCTAATATCTGTTGCCCTTTGATTTCAATCCCTTCAACTTGATAAGCATTACCAAGTACCAATTATGGCCCAGGAGCAGGGACAATGAACAATGAAGACCACGGCTTTGCGTATGTGCCAGCAAAGCTGTGGAGGCCATTTACCTGATGTGCTATTCCATATATAACCCTATACTGTATACTTTATGAATCAATAAAAAATTTACAATTTTTAATTATAAACCTGTGTTTTCTATCAAAATTACTTCTTGCGTGAATTTTGGGACACACTATATATGTATAAATATATACATACATATATATTTTTTTTCTTATGCCTTTTCCATTATTGGATTGAAGGGATTTGGGGAGGCCAAGAGCCAACAAACTTAGGAAGATGAAAGAGAAAACCACATTATGATGTAAAAAGCAGTTGGACAGAGGACCAGTAAGGGAGGAGCAATTTCTATGGAGAATTTATGACACCACATGTGTTTGTAGTAAACATGTATAGGAAGCCTGAAGTTAAGGGCTTAGGGTTAGGATCCAGGATTGGTGGCTAATTGTGAACTTTTTTAGGGTATCCACAGCAAGGACGTTCATAGCCTTTAAAGTGGCTTTGGGGGGGTGGCTTCTTGGTTCTTTATGGCACTTTTTTTGTTATGATAGGGAAGTAGCACAACAATGCTCCATTTTCAACTATATCATGTCTCCCTTGTTATTGAAAGCACAAAATTAAGGAGTGATTCTCATTTCCAGGATTTGAATACAGCCCCTACCTACCCCTACCCTAATGTCTGTCAGATATACAGACCTCTCCACTGAATGCCCTGAGTATTAAACTGATAGAGTTAAACTGACATCTCGAACTTAAAATGAAAACCAAGCTTCTGAAATTTCCCCCAAGCTGCTCCTCCCAGATCCCGCCCTAACTCACAGAATGACCACCACTTCTGGGGTTGCTCAGACCAGAAACCTGTCTTTGATTTTTCCATTTCATACTTAAATCCAACCTGTCAGGAAATCCTTTTGATTCTTTCTTGAGAAGGTATCTAAAATTGGATGACTTCACACATGTGTGCTTCCATCATCCTAGTCAAGCCAACATTATTTATTCCCTGAATTATTTATTGCAGTAATGTCCAAATTGGATCCACCTAAGTAAGACGCAAGGGGCCTAGGGTTAAAATACAAATGGGATCCAACATTACATATATTTAAATTTTTTAAATCTATGAATTAAGCTAACAAATAGTTATTTAAAATATTTTCTGTCCTCCTACATTAATGTATGCTTTCATATTGAAAAAGTCAAATAATCTACTTTTTGTATGACTGACAGTAAACAAAATATCAAAGATGGCTTAATTGCTATTGTGCATGTCTGAGAGTTCTATTCATAGGCAGGTGGTGTTTGGATGAGTAATAAAAGAAAGATATTCATGAATTATTAGATATTTATCCTATAGATGTTATTTTTAAAAGTTAATTTCAGAAAAATACTATATGTTTTCATAATTAAAATTTCTACATAGTTTATATTCCATTGACAGTATTTTTTCAAATTAGACCACTTTTGTTGAATCATTATATTTGAATATTGTGTTTTAAAATTTAATTTCAATTTGAAGAAATTGTTCTGCTGAATTAGCAATCAGGTTTGGAAATGAACCATGAGTTTTACATATCATGTTCAAATATTGTCATTGGGGTTGCATAGGATATATTATCACCATTGTAAACAATATTGCAAAATATTTAAATTTCATTATACAAACTATGATCACATATGTTGTCATTTTCATCATCTTTTAAAACAACATTCTAAAATCTAGATCAATCAGGAATTTTCAGTCTGGACCTGCATAAATACAAATTTAGAGAGATATGAATTGTTTCATATGTTTAGCCAGTAAGTCTGTAACTATTGCCAACACTGGGCAATTCATGAGTATCTCAAGAATGATGAACTATAACATAATGAAAAGCATGAAAATGAATGCTCAGCACAACTGAGACGTAATACTTCGTTATCTAAGGCATGTATGCTCCCCAAGAGGAGGTAGATAAGTTCCGTTGTACTTCTCTTAATTAAGCACATCCATTGTTCCAATCCTCCCCACACACCAGAGCAGTGTCTATCTGCCACGTTTGCAGCAGCGCAGCCCACTGGTTGTGATGGCATTTGGAGGCAATCACCTTCTGTTTGATGCACACAGGGCAGGAGGCCTGGAGAAGAGCTTCCCCGGGGCCTAGAAGATGCTAGTCATCGGAGTTACTGGTTAGACTGCAGTCTGTGCTGTAGCAGAATTGAGCCCAACTTCTAATAAAGGTGACCTGGGTATCATCATAAATTTACATGTTGTCTGTTTGTTTTTTGCAAGACTTCCTAAAGCATGGGGCCCAGGACAGGGAACCCTCTTGCTTGGGTCTAAAGCATGATAGGAGAGTATCACCTATTTCTGCCCTGACCCCTTCAATCAAAGCAATTCTGTTAAAAGGAAGTTGGATCATTTTACTCCTCTGCTCAAAGCCTCTTGAAGCTCCCATCTCATCTAGAATAGAAGCCGAATCCTTACTATGATGAGAGAGGCCTCATGGGACCTGGCCCCTGCTCCCCTTCCCACTTCCTCTCCTGCCATCACCTCCATGCTTGCCCTGGGCATTGCCCTCAATGCTGTTCCTCAAACTCACCGGGCATGTTTCCACTCAAGGCTTTGTATGTGCCTTTCTATCTTAATGGCTGTTACCAAGATAACTTCATGACTGACCCCTTTCTCTCTCTGAAGCCTTTATTTAAACATCAGCTTTTCAGTAAGGTGTTCTTTGACCACTCAATTTTAATCGCAGTCCCCATGCCCCAACCCTCTTCCCTGCTTTATTTTTCTCCACAGCACTCACCACCATCTAAAGTGCTGTAGTTCACGTACTGACCTTCTTTGTTTTCTGTTTTCCCATTGGAAGGTAAGTTCCATGGATTTTTGTCTGTTTATCGCTCTATCCCTAGCTAGCACCAGGACATTCAATATGTGTTCAGTGAGTAAAGATTGATAGGGTCCAAACTGATGTAGTAGTTGCAGATCTCTTCATAAGGTGGTGCTCGCAGACTACCTTTGCTTTTGGTTTTTATCTTAAAACAAAAGCCAACCAACAAGTCTGTTGCAATGTAAATAAAACAGTAATCTCTGCTTCACAATTAAGAATCTGGCTTCTATGGGGTTGCAGTAAGAAACGGCTATGAGAGGGGGACGATGTGTCAGGAACTGAGCTTTGTGTGTTCAATGAGCCTTAAGTGATATGTACCAAGTGAGACC